ATACATACCTGCAATAAAGGTATGTGTGTAATTTAAAAATTAGGTGCAATGATGGATTAATAATAACTAATAATAAAGCAGAATAATTCTAACAAATATTTTTAGTTATATGAACATGGTATCTCTTTCAAAGTTTCTTTTCATTTAGCATTTTTAGAATGTAATAGCAGAAATGCAAAAGAGGGAAACTGGATATTAAATAAGAGATAACTATAGTGCCTACAATGTTGGGTCCTACTTTATGAAATATTATATAATGAGCACTACTTTCACGCTAAAAGTTAGTAAAGGTGGCGACTTATTCTAGGAAGACCTTTCAATCTGAGTCAAACTATTTTAGTAATAAATTTCCTAATTTAGTAATAAATATCCTTCTACATCATTTCACAAGTTAAAGATACACTTTAGCCGGGCACCGATGGCTCACGCCTATAATCCTAGCTACTCAGAAGGCTGAGATCTGAAGATCTATGTTCAAAGACAGCCTGGGCAGGAAAGACTGTGAAACTCTCATCTCCAAAAAACCACCAGAAAACCAGAAGTGGTGCTGTAGCTCAAGTGATAGAGCACTAGCCTTGAGCTGAAGAACTGAGGGACAGTGCCCAGGCCCAGAGTTCAAGCCCCACAACCAACAACAACAACAAAAAAAAAAAGAATAAACTTTAGTTCTAGGACCACATGCGGCTTTTCAGAGCTTCATGTGTTACCCTGGAAGCTAATGAAATTTTGGGAAGAAGTCATTATGTATTTGATTTATGCTAGAATTATGCTGCTTTGAAGGGAGAGATCACATACAAACAAAGAATCAATTAAAAAATATTATACCCATTGCTATATACAATATCAGTTAATGTTCTCATCCCACCTATAGTCAGATGGTCAGTCACTTTTTGTTGTCATGGGGCTTGAACTCTGGCGCTGTCCCTCAGCTCTTCAGCTCAAGGTTAGTGCTCTACCTCTTGAGCAAGAGCGCCACTTCAGGTTTTCTGAGTGGTTTATTGGAGATAAGAGTCTCACAGACTTTCCTGCTGGGGCTGGCTTTGAACCATGACCCTCAGATCTCAGTCTCCTGAATAGCTAGGATTACAGGCCTGGCGCCCAGATCAGTCACTTTAAATTGTCCTGATAATTATGTTTCCATGTAAGTGCTGATGAATTACTAGAAGGTTAGAGGGTTGCTATATGTAGGGTTTCTTTTTTTACTCTGTACAGAAACAGTCTAAGCCCAGCACCTTTGGCTCATGATTGTAATCCTAGCTACTCAGGAGGCTGAAATCTGAAAATTATAGTTCAAAGCTAGCATAAGCAGGAAAAGTCCATTAGACTCTTATCTCAAGAAATAACTAAGAGACAACACTCAGGCCCTAAGTTCAAGCCACAGTTCTGTTACACACACATATACAAAAACAACAAAAGTTTTAAAACTAAATTACATTTTAAAATTAAATACAGAGCTGGGAAGTTGGCTCAGTGGTAGAGTGTTTGACTTGCATGCATGAGGCCCTGATTTGATTCCTCAGCACCACATAAGCAGAAAAAGCCAGAAGTGATACTGTGGCTCAAATGGTAGAGCACTAGCCTTGAGCTGAAGAGCTGAGGCATAGCACCCAGGCCCAGAATTCTGACCTCATGACTGACAAAAAAAATAAATAAATACAAAATTTACTTCTATTAAATGGCCAATGTAACAGTAATATATATATAGTTTAATAGTTCTCTTTTTTTCTATTTCCTTTGCAAAGCATTAAATATATTAAAATTAAGGTGGCACTACTGATCAGTTACTTTAGGTTTATGTTTTTTTTGTTTAGTTTTGTTTTATTGCCTACACCAGGGTTTGAACTAGGGGGCCATGCTTGTTTGGCTGGCTTCCTGGGCTAGGGATCTACCATCAGGGCCTAGCAGGTCTCTCTCTCTCTCTCTTTCTCTTTCTCTCTCTCTCTCTCTCTCACTCTCACTCTCTCTCTCTCTTTCTGTCCATCTTGTGGCTTAAACTCAGGGCCTGTCACTGAGCTCTTTTGCTCAAGGCTAGTGCTCCACAGCACCCCTTTACTTCCAGTTTTTAAGTGGTTAAATGGAAGTAAAAGTCTCACAGGGACATTTCTGCAGAGGCTGGCTTTGAATTGTAATCCTCAGATCTCAGCCTCCTGAGTAGCTAGGATTATAGGTATGAGCCACCGGCGCCTGGCAGGTCTCATCTTTTTTTAAATAATAAATTATATTGGAACCTTATAATATTACTGTCCACATTATATAAACATCTTAAGGGGCAAAGACTCCCACAGAACTCAAAATGCTAATATTACTATTTGAACTATTTTTTGGTTTTTGTTTTTTTTAGGTCCGGTCATGGGGCCTAAACTCTGGGCCTGGGCGCTGTCCCTCAGCTCTTCAGCTCAAGGTGAGTGCTCTACCACTTGAGCCACAGCGCCACTTCTGGCTTTTTTTTTCTTTTTGCTTATGTGGTGCTGAGGAATCGAACCCAGGGCCTCATGTGTGCAAGGCAAGCTCTCTACCACTGAGCCACCTTCCTAGCCCTTGAACTATTTTTTAATGTCCCTAGACTCCAAACTTATATGACGGTTTTTCTAGTCTTTTTAAAGAGTTGAAATTCAAGTTGAACTATGTAACCTGAGCATATGGATAGGTTTGGGAAAGATGGAGAAGAAAGCTGAAAGGGACGACATGATCAAGATAAATTCTCCTTATAATCTGACTTGTTGAGCAGAAACTCTTTTGTACAACTATTTTTTTAAAGCTGAAATTCAAAAGAGTTAACACTTAGTGGTAAAACAACACTAATAGAAATGTTTAAAACAATTCTACAAGGCCAGGTGCCAGTGGCTCACACACGTAATCCTAGCAATTCAGGAAGCTGAGATCCAGAGGATTGTAGTTTGAAGCCAGCCTGGGCAGTAAAGTCCAAGAGACTATCCCCAAAATAACTAGCAAAGATGTTAAGTAACAGAGTGTCAGAGGCCTCAAGAATGCAAAGCCCTGACTTCAAAATCCAAAATCTGAGGGGGGAAAATTCCACAGGGTTCAAATACAAACACATCATCACAAAACAATTTAACATTTTTCAAAACTCTTTTCACATACCTTTAGGCCAAAGAACTTTAAGCAAAAGGTCATATGCTAAAGTGGTCTAACTAGCATTTTGAGTTAGGTCCTTCCAGCTATCAAAAACAAATATTAGAGTTTTAGGTCTCAACTTCTTCCATCATAAATTCTACAGACTTTCATAACTTATAAAAAGCACATTGAGGATTCATTACATATCATTAAAACACCTTTCAAAACCACTAAACAGCAAATACATCTTCCTCAGCTAATCTATCTGAAAGAACTGTGCATTCATGTGAAACTATAGTTCTTTCAGTAACATGGAAAAGTGACTAATGCTACTCTATCGCCAAAGGAAGAAATATTTTTTGCAGATCAAATAAATTCTGTGAGTAAAGACCATGTCACTATGATTGCCTACCAAACTTATCTTTTCACCACATAGAGCCTGTCTTTCTGGAGCATGAAAAGAATGAATATGTTTTCCTGAGGGGAAAGACTAGGAACCATCTGTTCAGAACTTAATTTCTCAATAGGATATTTTTGTTGTTTCATTTTTTTGTGCCAGTCCTGGGGCTTGAACTCAGGGCCTAGGTGCTATTCCTGAGCTCTGTCTGCTCAAATCTAGCACTCTACTACTTGGGTCATTGCTCCACTTCTGGCTTTTTGCTGATTACTTGGAGATAAGAAACTCAGGGTCTTTCCTGCCCAGGCTGGCTTTGAACGACAATACTCAGATCTCAGCCTGAGCCTGAGCTAAGATTACAGGTTGTGAGTGACAAGCTCTTGGCTTTTCAACAGGATACTTTTTAAAGGCAAAGATCAGGAAAAAGTTAATACTATGAGGGTCTTTGCCCTTCACTGCTGAGGATGAATTCAGAGAATGGAGTATGTTAGGCAAACTCTTGAGCTTCATCCCCCAGCCAAATACCAATAATTTTTGGCTAATCCTTAATATGACTGTGCCAAACTGTGCCTTGTTAAAAAAAAAAAAAAAAACTAGCTTTTATCCACACACAATGGCACTGTCCCAACAAGTCAATCAACTTTTCTTTTTTTCTTGCCCCACTGTCCGCCCTCCCCCGCTCTAGTACTGGAGTTTGAACTCAAGGCCTTGGGCTTGCTAGGCAGTTTATCACTTCCAAACGTCAGAGAAAATGTAGAATTTGAAGAAAAATTAAAACCTCCTTCCTGGACAGCTAGTTCACTTATTCAAGAGGCCTCAAGGGTGTCACGTGAAAAATGAACACACTGGAATTGGTTCTCGGTGGATCTTCACTTACCTCTACAAGCTGCCCCTCTTCCCTACATCCCTGGTTAGCTGGTAACTTAATGGTTTGGAGGGAGGCAGAGAAGAATAGATTTCAGTCTTCCTTTTTTTAAAACGGCGTGGTTAATAATTTGACAGAAGGGACAACTTTCGGGCAGCACAGTTACGGAATTGGGGGGGGGGGGGGTAAACCCGCCTCGCGGATCAAGGGTAACAAGCCTTTGCAGGAGTGAGAGGCTGTGACTACCACACGGACGGAGGGATTCGACCCCAGTCCGCTCCTGAGTCCGAAGGCATATGCCCACTCAAGGGTGCAGCCCCGGGAAAGCCGGGGTCCACCCTGGGAGCTGGGTTTCCCCATGTCCTCGGGGCCCTCGCTCCAAAGAAGCAAGCCGCAAACACTGCTCCTCCACCCGAGCGCTCCCCCACGGAGAAGGACGTTGAACTCGCAAATCTGGCATGGGGTACAGATGAGAGACGGGACACTGAGCCCCACGACCCGCGACTGCAGAGGCGGGGGGGCCTCTGAGACCAGTCGAAATGTGGGGTTCTAACCCTCCACCCCACCCCGGGACCTCCCGAGGAAAGCCCTCTCCGGGCCGTCGGGTCGCGAGGAGCGGGCCGGCCCGAGGAGGGACGCCGGGAAGAGGCGCGAGGACCTTACCCGCTGCAAGCCTGGCGCCTGCCGGCTGCTGCCTCCGGCAGGCCCAGTACCGGAGGCCGGAGGCGGCCCCGCGGAGCCGCAAGGAGGCTGCCATGCTGCCCCACCTCCCCCTTCGGTGACCTCCGCCGCCTCCCAGCTGGCCCGCAGACTGCGACTGTGCGCGGGCGGGCGGCCACTGCCGTGGCGGGGGAAACACTCGCGCACGCGCCCTCGCAGCTCCGGGCGGGCGCCCGCCCACGAGGGGAGGGGCGTCGAATCGAGAGTTGCGGCCCAGCTAGCGGAGACTGTCATTGCCTTTACAGACAGGGAAATCGACCAATCAACACTCCAAGATCCTCCGGGCCCCTGTAGGCCCCGCCTCCAAGCTGCCTCTCTGTTTACTACCGGAGGGCGGGGGCCTCCTCATTTACTCAAGGCAGAGGGCGTGTGGGAGGTGGTGGCTGTGGTGTCGTCCACACACCAGCACCCCGACACCGCCCCTTCGAGGACTGCAACTATGTGTGTCTCTTCCCTTGCAGTCAAGGACAAACGTTGGCAGTAGCTTACTGCAGTAGCTTGCTGCAGTTTTTAGGTGCGAGCAGAATTCCCCGTCTTTCCAAACGTTGTACATTTCCAACTAAAGTACTAAGTGGATCTCCTACTGTTTGGGTTGTTTGCAGAGCCCGTTTGTTGAAAAACAATTTCAGAAATCTACCATGTATGTAGTAACTGGGTTCACTGTTGTTTTAACCCAACGGTTTCTCAATAAATTTGTTTAAAAAAAACAGTAGGAGAAAAATAGTTAATATTACTCTCATTGAAGAGTAGAATTTCTAGGAACTTGTGTTTTGTATTTCAAAGACATACTTCTTTAACGTTTGCAAATTCTACACCCTGCAACCATTTTGCAACTGAAAAACAAAGTAAATTAAAATCCAGGATAGTGTAAGAATGTCTATCTATAAGTATGAGAAATCACACTTATTCAGTCTTCTCTTGTGTCCAGAATATATACTTGAACTTCTTGAAGGAAGTTTCAGGGCTTCCTAGCTCCATCGAAGGGTTGGGATCCCTGAATACAGCAGAGTTAGGCTTCAAGCCTGCAAAAAGAAGTAGTCCAAGGGCTGGGAAGGTGACTCAGTGGTAGAGCACTTGCCTTGCATGCCTGAGGCCCTGAGTTCGATTCCTCAGCACCACATAAGCAAAAAGAAAAAAGCTGGAAGTGGCACTG